CTCACCGATATAGACGCTATATTTCAGCGAAAATCTCACGAAGAACACATGCATTGCTAGACTGTTGGAATACTGCCGTGCCCTCCCTTAAATCCACCCGCGGGGATGCTTGAATTTCTTGACCTACGGAACAAGGAAAGTTGCCGCGAACCGACAAAGACCGCCCACGTGGACCGTTTATTTTTCCAAGCGAATAGGGCCTTAAAGACATGTAGCAGTGCACGATGATGAACCCCACAGCCACGGAGGCTGACAACAATGCCAGAGCCGTGAGGAAAGAAATAGTATTGTGACGTTTCCCCATCACTCCTGAGATGTTATAATGTTGCACCGATGTTTCAGTTTCCTGAGTATATGTGCTCATCGTGATCTGAGATGCACGTTTTGCTTCAAGGACGGCGTTGGCTCCACTAGCAGCGATGAAGCAACTGGATATTATAAAAAACAAACAGCCCATATTTGGCAACCAAAAACGGGGCAAAACGAACGTTGTCTTGCTTTAAAACGATTCAAGATTAGTCATTTACAAAGAGGCGCGTTATTTCCGGGCCGTGATCCTCAATGGACCATCCTGTCCCGTTGTGACGGTGGCCCCGTGATCCAGAACCTCAGGGTGCTGGCCAACGCAGACTGGAAACTAATATCGGAAAGTTAAGCGCACGGTCCTACTTCCCAATGTCTAATGTACAGCGTAAAACAGCATTTCACGAATAATGTGTTTGTGGGGTATCAATTGTCTTCTCCATCTTGCCAGCCATTTCAAGCTCGCAAACTAGTGGTGCTGCAATACTGCTGTTACACATATGCCAAGACGTTTCAAAATGTCTCCCCAGCTCAGCTCATCTTAAGCCTACATTTGAGACTTTTTGGGAAAGCAGAATGTTACAGTCTGGAAGCCTGACTTTTTTGTGGGGGCAGCCCGTTAATTCAGTTTCTACTCTGGATCTGAAAAGGGGGGAACAATGGATCTAGGACGCTGCAGCCTTGGTATACAGAGCTGAATCCACATAGAGCCATAAGAACGCATAAAACGTGTGCTTTTTTTGGCAGTTGGGGTCAAACTTTTGTGCACTATTAGGCATTGTTAGTGAACAACCCCTGTTAGACAGGAGCAAATCTACAGAGACAGCGACTCACTGTATTTATTAGCTGGGCTGTATATTTACGGGAATGTTTACCAGTTCCTTCTTTCATTAGTAGTCCCAAATATTTAATTGAATTTTTCCACTGTAATTCAGCTGCAGTGAGGTTGCATTGCTGGTAACAGATTAGCAGAACTAGGCTATGCAGCACTCTTTAGGAGCGCTGAGCAGCATGATTGGGGGATATATAGCTGTCTTTTTGCAGCGTATACATGTCAACTCAAATATGAATTACATTAGTTTGCACCTGTCGCAGCAGTGAAAGCCTACATCCTTGTCTGGCGTTCGCATTGCGAATGACTTACGGGGCCGCAAAGTCAGTGTTGGTCGAATTCAATGCATTTGTAGCATGAAACAGGAATACAACCTATTGAATATCGATTTGAACTGTCTAGACCTGGATAACTCTGCAGCCGAGCCCGAAGTTCAGAGATGGCAGCAACTCCAGAGCTAACAGAGGGTCCCCGTGTGCCTCGAAGGTCACTAGCTACAGTGCAAACGACCAATTGTGTCATGTCTTTTGACAGCCCAAGTCCGGAAAATCTCACTCCGCCTTCCTAAGGCATCTGGGAATGTTCAACGGTAATAGGGGCCCAGCGTTTCATGCATACTCTTTTTCAGAATTCTGCTGTACTAGACCGCGGCACTACAATATTGCGAAGAGACAACCTCCGAAGGTCATAGTACTTACTGCTGTAGATACGAAGCATAATTCGGGAAAACTTAGTTAAAGAAATCTGGTCTTCATGGTAGACTAAACCTAGGACCCTCTGCGGAAAGGTCAGGCAGCGTGGCTGGCAGTCACCCGTGCAGCTGGCACTAAAACGGAGATCGTATGGCACCAGTGGTCGTTCCGAAATAGTGATAGGACAATGCTAACAATTTATATACTTTTTTGAAAGCTCAGTTGGTGCTCTAGAAGTCGACAAGCGAATGTGTGTCTATGTTTGATAGGTACAGACCTATGTATGGGCTAGGCTTGGCTCAGCTCGTTACACTTTGGGGGCCTTTTCAGCTATAGAAATATATATATCAATCGGGGGCTTCCCATAAAAACTGGCATAGTTTTTTTTTGATTATTAGAACACATATATTCGCGCGAAACAGAAACCGTTTACTTGTACACCTGTAAAACCGGAGTGACAGGGACCAAGGTACAGGGCTCTCCAGGGCGTTCAATGCACATGAAATCATTGACAGAACAAAGGCGAACACCGTCGAATCAGCAACTGTGAATCATGCCCATTCGATCACGCCTCCTCGAAAGCCCCTATTCCTCGGACTAAAAGCCGAACCGGCGCTCCCGATGGCGCTCCAGGTGGACTCAAACTGGGAGATCGTTCAGTAGGAGCGGGAGGTAGAGCCGCTATGTGGACTTGATGTAAATGACTGTAGCCAGACATCCAGAAATATTTTTCAAACATTTTGAACAGTCGCTCGCATAGTAAGGCCGGAAGTGGGCCAACACACCTTAGGGAAAGTTGTGGCTCTAGCAGTCCAGATTCTGTCCAAATAGTCATTCTGTCTATCATCCGTTTCCCATATAACTCTGATCTGTAGGTGGCCCTCAAGAATCAGGCTGCGAGCCTTCACGGCGTAGTACCAAGCACCAATTTGCGACACCGCCACCCCCCCAGAGACCAGTAAAAAGTACGACCTGCCGCTTCCCCGTCGCATGAATTTTTTCTGCCACTTCAAGAATATCATCATCAAGTATTCCCATGAAAACGCGTCGAAACGCAAACAAAAACCAGGGTGAATTTCCCCTTCTCCACAAGGCGACAATTCTGGATCCGAAGTAGTATCCCACATGGTGTTTAGAAGCCAAAGCTGCACCATCGAGCTCGCAGAAGCATTGCTAGCCAAAAGGATTCACTGCAAACACTAAAGTTTATGTTTTCAAAAGCATCAAGTAAAAGCAGTGTCTACTGCGGGCCCGAGGAGCAGAGTTAGTTCCTTCCGCTGTTACTAGGGCATTTTGTCAAACTTTATGAACAGTCGCTCACATAGTAAGGCCGGAAGTGGACCAACACATCTTAGGGAAAGTGGTGCCTCTAGCAGCCCAGAATCTGTTCACATACCCGTTCTGTGTCTCATTCGTTTCCCATGTAACTCCATGTAACTCATGTTGATTCCCTTTCCAGTTGAAAAAACCATGGCTCTTCTACAGGTCTGATAGATGTTGCATCAACCCGCACTTACCTCGGTAGATTTGCGGGGGGCAAGGTACATTGACTTCACTCACTGGGCAGTTCCAGCCTAGTAACCCGATGGCTTTTCACAGGTCCATCCGATCCCACTGTGCTATCAGTCGCCCTCTTGGGAACTTAACCTTGTCAAAGAAGCGCGTGTCAACCAGGTGCTGTGGACAAGATGCATATTTATTGTTCTTTTCCTGAATGCTTGGATCTACACGGAACCTTGCTGAAAGGTCGTCGTACCTCAGAAGTCTTGCAGGCAGAGTGATTAATGCACCTCTTAACAAGGTTTTAGTCAATGACAGCAAGCACGTGCTTCTCTGCGGAGCTATTTTGCAGGTTATGCCTTTCGCAATCAGGCAAAGATCTGATATACGCTCTTTGGAGGTCTTGACTCTGTGTGAGTCACCTGCTTCTGCTACTTTCAGGGCAGCCATACGAGTGACTTTCCACGGCTTGAAGAAGAAAGTACTTGAGTTGAGATGTTGGTTCCATTGCCACATTGACCCAGCGTCATGTACTACCAGATGAAGAACCCAAATATTCTGCCAAGGATTGTACATTTGCTTCTTCCAGTCTCCTAAAAAATTGGAGCTATTGAGTTCACCGATGGCACGACGAGTCATTCGATTTCCATCGTACACCCGAGGCTGAAAGTCTGCTGGGATGCTTCGAGGAAATGACACATCAGCTCCCACTGCTCGCAAGTAACCGTGTATAGCATACGTCTTGTACTGTGGGCTGTCGGGGCTGGGGAAACGCACCGTGTCCTGCCAAGATTTTCTGAAATTTTCTTCATATATAGTGCACGAAGTACCTGCAGTGTCATCAGAAGGACACTGTAAAACAGTACTGCTCGCTCACGCTTGTCTGGATGTTGAAGTTGGCTATTCAGCATTCTTCACCTACAGAAAGCGCAACCACTGCTCAGCTGAATTAGGGCTCACGCCTAAGATTTACTCTAGGATATGTGTAAAGTGGGGGACAAACCGATTTGAATAAGATCCTTCAAGGGCTGAAGAAGACGTAGATCCTTCATGATAATGCTATTTAGAGCCTTTCCAACATTAGACACTAGCATGCTCACGTTCATTTATGAGAAGGTTTCGACGACGTGCCAAGCCAAATGCAAGGTATTTGAGGAATTCAAATTACGGATCCATTCTTTTTTTGCCTCCTCAAAGTGAGGTTTGATGCGAGAACAACTGCGGCTTTTAGCCTGGGGTGGAACTTTCGGAGACTTGCTTTATCGAGGGTCCTAGTGCTTAGGGATGCTTCATCCAGGTGGGTGACAACGCAAGCAGGATCGGAGAAAGTGCCTTCCCCTTTCGTGAAGAAAAGGTTGTTACAGACTTTCAGTGACTCATATGTCTTTTCATTAAACTGTCGATCAAGGCCTAGTCGTGTCAGGTCCACTGTTTGTTTGATGCTTCCCAGAGAGATGGACTGCCCCGAATGCATGTCCACAGCAGTTGATTTGCTACTGTAGTACGGCTTTTTCTGGAGGACGAATTTTGGGCAAGGGCCGAATGATCGACCGGTTTCATCAACTACAACTACAGGAGTTGTACTTGTTTCTTCAGGAGGATGCAAGAACGTCCCTACACCAGCTGAACCTTCTGCGCTGGCTCCGCCCGCATGATGACAGGCATCGCGTTCTCTACTGATAAAGCACGCTAGGCACGGTCGAATTGCCGTACTCTGCCATTATTGAGGCGACATCTTCCTCTCCTGCAAATTCGTTCAACAGTTCTGCCGCGGTTGTTTCCGTCGAGTTCTGATGGCCATTGATCTCTCCTGTTTGGTCAGGTATTTTCTCAAGCAAAGCGGGAACTGGAGAAGTGGCCCAAAATGCGAGCCACGTGACAGCCAGCGTCCAGCGTGTAACCATTTTGACTCCGCGTGAGTAGAAGCACAGTGATTAAATATAGCTTCAAGCTGGCCGAGACAAATGCCGTTTTCTCCCCATGAAATGTCTCCCAACCCTTTATTCTTTCTCTTTCAAATGCTTTTCATAAATAGGCAAGCAACACTGAGCAAGGGACACCGCCGGAAGAATTTGCCAGAGCTGCACGGGTCACTTGAACCCGATGCTCCAGAGGCTCATACGTAGAGAGTTGGGGATGAATTTGTCCCTCAGGCAAGAATTATGTGCAAAAATTCAATTCACTTGTGGTTTCTTTCATCCAGTGGCCCAGCAGACTAGGTTAGTCCCAGCCTGTGCGGAGTTGCGCGCCTTCGACCATGAACTTGTGGAATCAGGGCACACTGAACCAATTTGCTTGAATGCCTACACTTCCGCCGAGAGGCATGCAAATGTATGGTTTAACAATGAATTGTCGCAGCGTCTGTCCTGGTAAAACCAACCATATGGCTATCTTCGTCTCACTCTTCGTCTGAGTGTTGGGCTGCTGCTTGAGCGTCACTCTCCTCCAGCACACCGAGGAACGGCTTTAACTTTGCAAGCCATGTGAAGGTTCCCGAGAGCGCTGCATTATTGCACAAAGAAGTCGCTAGTGCTGGAGCTGCTGCTTGGATCTCACGCAGATAGGTTTCATTTCGAGAAGCTCAAGGTGCCTGATTCCCTCCTGTGGAGAATACAATCCCGCCAGATCGAATTCGAATGTGCGCTAGAGCTTCGCGTTATATTCCCGAAGAATTGGTCGCCCTCAATGGCCTAAATAAACCATTGATCAGGAACCTTTAAGGCTGCCTACGCGTGGTCAGTGCACAGCAATCGCATGCAGCGAATGCTTCACATGTTATACTTATGAGGCCCTGTGCAACTGTTCTTGCTGCAACAATTCTGGCTGCATGGAGCAATGCAGCACAAGGTGGATTTCAGGGACGTGACGCGGCCAGTGCTGGGTAGAAGCCACGGTGCGTCCACAGCGCAGTTTCCGTAACACACCAGTAAAATGTTAGTGCTACGTGGCTAGATCCCTGAACCTGCGGAATTGAAACCCAACACAGGCAACATTTACTAGCGTCAGAGTACACTACGTTGTACGAGAGGGGCCAGGGATCAGCAAGTCTACCAAAAGCCTCATCAAAACGCTTCTGCTCGATCGTTTCATCCAGGATATATCGGCCTATCAGAGTGGGGTTGAGACATGATGGTGCCTGCCCTATATCCTTTTAGACCCTGCACAGGCAAATCACTACGGCGCAAATGTATGTGTTGGCAAGTATCAACAGGGATGGGCTTGGCTTGTAGATGTGGGCATCTACAGGCAAGCCAATCCCAGAGGAACGTCTTCGCACTGATCTGATAGTATATGTTTTGCATCGCTGTTTTGGTGCAAGCAACATTAACAGAGACTGATAAAAACGCTAGCTGGAGCACTAATTCCACGTTCACACGCAGAATTGCCTCATATCCACAATAAAGGGTGTCGTGACACGTGCGCACAATTTAAACTTCGTATGACTATATATAGGAGGGGACTTTATAGGGCCCCTTCTGGTTCAGTCCCAGTAACAACTGACTATATTTTGGGAAGATACTTTGAACTGAAGTAGCATCGTTTTTGCCTCGACTGGTGGTATCACAGAGTCTTTCTTTGTACAATGTGCAAACACCACGTCGATGGGGGACAGTCTTTTGGTTCCTCCGTAGGTGCCACTATGTATGTAACGGACACAGCGAAGCAAAACTTGCTGAGCCGTTCTCGTGCGCCCATCGGCAGACAACTGCTGCGCTGTTGACACCCAGCTGCTCGTCCCAGGCAGATACTGCAAGCTGCCTTGCCTCTTACGCACGGAAAGGTGAGGAAGCTGCGTGAACCGGAAGCACTGGCCAAGGAAAAATGATACAGCAAAAACTGTGAGGGCTTTCCTGAGGCAACAAACGAAAAAACGGCACCAGCAGGACCTCAATATTCACCCATACTTCTTCAGATTCGGCAGCTGCTCCAAGGTAGACCCCGTCTCGATTGGCCGGCTTCAAGAAGAACCAGCTCGCAATCAGGTCTGACAAGCCGTATAAAACGCTATGCTCCATGCACTCCAGCATTGTTATTTAAAAATGCTTGTTAATAAGATATAACCTGTTCACGAGCAAGGCATGCCGTCATCGCAATTGGCAGCAATTCTGACGAAGCCATCCACAGCAACCCAGACCATGGTTTGTCGCCGCTCGCCGTAGCATCTTCATCAGATATAACAAAGAGGGCAGCCTGTACAGGGGGATATTGAGAACTGAACGCACTTACCTTTGTGAATGCCTGCCATGCCCACCCGAACATGGCGAAAAGATTTGTGAGGCCGCTACTTCGGTAGATGCATGACCTTTCAGTCCAGCAACAATGATGATCACACACCCTACGTGTTGTTTATACTGCTGAGAGGCTCACTAATTTTCGAAGCTCACTGGGCCATAGATGTCCGACAATCTGGCGAAGTTCGCCACTCCTCTGACGACTCCCCTGTGTTTCTTGCGCCTTCTGGATGTAGTTTTATGATGACCTGCGCACTCTCAAAACAGTGAGCGTCCCTCCATGGCGTATTTTTCCTGTGCTTCTGTGCAGGACAGTACAAGTGCACTCAGCGAAAAAACCAGGCAGCATTGGACTCGACTTAATGGAAAGTTAAGAGCTGCATTCGATGCAATGAGTGGAGCAAACGGAAACTAGGCCAATGAGCCAAGAACAGTGCTCATCCGCTTCATCATGGCATGCAGTTTGAACACCAATCGTACCTCAACCTCGCTTCTCCACCAGAGACAGCACTTTCGGGAAGCCAATGCAGCCGCTGGAATCGATGCTTTCACTTGTCATCTCGTGTAAATGCCGCAATAATGCCAGTACTACTTAGTTATGGTTAATCGTGTCCAGCCGGTATATGTATTAGATGAGTCTCTGGGCCCAGCCCCAAACACAGGTGGAGCATTGCATAGTCATGCGCAGGTAAATACGTAGAATGAGGGTCTTGCATTTCCAAAGATGGCTGACGTTAGACAGTGCAAAGCCCGAGTTCTGCTTGATTTTTGGAGGCCAGCAAGTCTCACCTCGCCACCATATGGCATTTTGAGAACGTTCATGGATAAACGCGGGATTTTGTCTTCACGCAGACTTTTTGTTTGGATGCTGGGTTCCAACGAAAGCTTTCCATCCGACTACAAGATTATCTCCCCCCCGAACACCTCCATCAACGCAGCTCCTACACGCACAACGCAACACTGCTTAGTCGTACGTAGCGGCTCGACCCTCATATGACACATCCTATGCACGCAACATACGTCCTGTGCGTTCCAAACAGGGCAGCCACCAGCGGTTCACACTGCTCCACTCCTACTAAACTTCGGGCCGTTCCACATAATGTTCTGTTCACGCACCTCTCTCCATGTCTCCAGTTCCGCTCGCCATGACAACCTGTCCATAAACGCAGTTTCCAACTAGCACAACGCAAAGCATTGTCTCTCACCACGAGCTCTTCTGCCAACGCGGCGAAATCATTGCCGTACTTCACTTTGCCACGTCATACACTGCTAACTCGTACGTCGCGGCTAGACCGTTCATATGACACACTTCACGCAAGCAACGCACCACATGCGCATTTCAAACAAATCAGAAATCAGCACATTACACTGTTCCACTTCCACTGAACTCCGCGCCGCTCGAGAGTTTCTGTTGTTCTTGCAATTCTTTGCATGTTCCTAGTTCCGCTCGCCATGGCAACAAGCAGCTTCCAACACGCACGAAGCAAAACATTGTCTTTCGCCACGAGCTCGTCTGCCAACGCGGCGAAGTCATTCCCCCAGCTCCCTCTGCCATGTCGCACACTGTTAACTCCTACGTCGCGGCTCGATCTTTCATAAGACACAACCCATGCACGCAAAACACGTCCTGTACGTTCCAAACAGTGCAGCCATCAGCGAGTCACACTGTTCCACTCCCACTAAACTGCGCGCCGCTCCAGAGAGTGTTCTGTGCGTGCAACACTCTCAATGTTACCAGTTCCACTCGCCATGACCCACACTTCCGTCAGGGGAGCTTCTAGCACAGAAGTCGCAGAACATTCTCGCCACTACCGTCCCTTCTATCATTGGATATTGCTTGAAGCACCCCGTTTGCCACTAGAAGCTTTGCCAGCTCGGCAAAATACTGTGCTATCCAGAGTTTAGCCGGAGCGTCATTGTGGTCTGCACCATAACACTACAATTCGCGCAGCACGCGATGCCTCACGCAGCCCCAATTCAAGCATTCACTGCGCCCACGCATGTCCCGCCTCGACATTTCACACGACACATCCCATACAAGCACATTTTCTGCGCCCTCCAAATGCCGGAGCCACAGCGACTAATGCTTTCCCACTGCGACTGAGTTGGACTTGGCTTAAACTCTAGCATATTTTCTGCAAGCCAAAGGATGTCATTTAAAACATAGTGATCGCTGCCACCATTAAAGGAAATCCACAATACCTTGTCACCATTTCTTCCACCCACATGGCATTTTTTTTTTGCGCCACTGCAGCGCCAAAGCCTCCCCTCAGCTTTGCAACACTTGCGGTTTGCCAGTTTGGCCTGTGCTTTGTCTTGCTCATCAGATGAAGAGAAGCAATTAATGAAGCGTGAATTTAAAGACCTGCTTTACGTCCTTTTTCAGTGTCATTTTTGAACTCCAAAGATCACTGTTGTTCCGGTACAGTTTTGCAAAGTTTGCAGTATCTTCTCATACTATGAGAACATTGAAAGCTCCAGTCTTTCGTCGGTACAAATGCAGTTGCTGTTTCAAGGATTAGAAGGATGACTAGGTACGAAGTTGAAACATCGGTTGTTGCTCTGCCTCTAGCATTATCTTTGCACGCTAAAAGCGGCTGAAGGGATGCCTTTGCTGCACAGTGCCTTCTAAATTCAGCTCATAATACTCCAGTGTGTCATAGAGCACATGT